TAATTACACATGAAACCTGCCTGACATTCGTCTATTTTATAATTTTCTTCAGCCCAATTATATAACCTTTTATTAACAACGCCAGAAAATATTTTATACATTGTATTTGTGATAGAAATGCCCCGATAATTGTTCGGTAAGGAAGACGATCCAGATTTGTAAACTGGACATATAATACTTTGACCCCAAGTATTTGGAAAATTTCCTGTTATAAAAATTGTGTTAAACAGCAGTAATAAATGTTCCCCGATGTCCTGGCGTGAATATTTAAAAAATTCAGAAGGAATCCCGTCGAATCCAGAACTTTTATTATTTACAAGTTTAGAAATAACTAATTCAATTTCACATAATGTAAAAGGTAAATTTAGTGAATTCGCACTTTCATCAGAAGACACATGCTCGTTATTTACGTGTGACGGCACTTTTACCGCGTTTGCGTCATACAATAGTTTATTGAAATAATCATACCATTCTTTAGAAGAAATGCTATTGCTTGTTATATTATTTTGTGGTTTGGCTGATTTCAATTGTTTCCAAAAAGAAATGGCATCAGTGCTGTTTACTTAGTTATATCTATTTTTACTTTGGTATTCGAATTTCTTTTTATCACAGCATATTTTAAATTCATTGCGACTAGTTTTATATAATCTCAAATCATTTTGTGTATTTGTGTTACGAAAATGACGTAATAATTGATACTTTCGTTTCTTCAATCTAAAACATTCATCATCCCACCATGCAGGTTGATTAGAACTAAGTTTAAACTTAATTCTCATACATTCGCCAGCTTCATGATCAATCTGAGTTAATAAATTTATATACTCATCAATGTTTTCGTTAAGCTTTTGTATTAATGTATCATTTTTCTCATGCAAAAGGTTTCGTAAACTACTCACGAAAATTTCATTATAATTATTTTTCCAGCGGAAGTTTATCATATTAATATTAGTACACGTGTTTGTTTGATAAAGTGTATCTTGCACAGGTATTTTTATCTTGAACTCTAAATTGCAACATATAGGAAAATGGTCTGAATCGTCTTTATCTAAGACTTTAAAATATTTAACATACTGAAAAACATTTGTTGAAACAATCATATAATCTACAACACTAACTCCGTCGTTAGAATAACATGTATATTCCCCTTTAATATCACCATGACACCTGCCATTTAATAAGTGAACATCAAATATGCAACAAAAATTTACTAAATCTTTACCAAAATTATTCCCTCTTATAATATCTTTATTTTGACGTGGAATTTCAAAATAGCTACCTTCATAATCGACATTACCAAAAACATAATGAAGGTCATCGTTAGGAATGAAATCTAAAAAATCTCGGGTCCTAGCATTGAAATCTCCGCCCAAAAATAGGTCAACCTCTGGATAATCAAACTTAATTTTCTCAATATTATTATACATTTGTAAAACGCCATTTTTCTCAAGCATTCTATCATAGTACACTGAGTTTTCAGGTGGTATGTATGTAAAATATATAATGATATCGTTACAGTGATAAAGTTCTGAGAAGTTAATCAACAAAACAACACAATTCTCAAATTCTGAAAAGATATGATGAACTATGCCCTCTTTATAGATTATATTGCTTAACACTTACACCACCACTGTTACGCTTGGCATTTGGTAACATGCTTCTTACATAATCAAAATGAGTATGTGAGCTTAAAAAAATTTCATATTCCCCCTTAAATTTACTCCAAGTTTCACATAAGCAAAAAATGTCAAATGAACTGAGAAAACACTTTAAATCAATATTGTCACAGTGTTTATTTAATCCGCCGATATTCCACGATAGTATTTTTATGTTTACAGTTCCAGGTGAGTGATTATTTGGTATGCCTTGGCCGCCCTGTTAATCTATCGTCGAATCAGAAAGATACTCATCCTGTGACGTTTGTCGTGTTGATGTTATTGGCTGTCTCAAGTCAGCTGATACGTCACGTGGTTGTGTTTCACTTCTTCCCGCTTGATTTGTAACCAATCGGCTTACGTTCCCGGTGTTTACTTGCTCATGTTGTGATTGAACACGTGTTTGTGTACCACGTTGTCTGTTGCCAATAAAAACAATACATTCATTGTGATCATCGTATCTATAAATGGAGTCGTTAACAAATAGTTTGTCGTATCGAAGTACTGCATAGAGACCTTTTTGTTTATCCTGTACCATCTTTTCACCAAGGATTCTTCTGTGACGTTTAATACAGTCACTATAATCTTGTTGTACTAGGACTGAACGATCACGTGTACTCTTATACACACTATTGGCTCTGTCCATAATTATTTGTGTATCTTTATAACGTGTAAAGCGTGCAATAATAGTACATGCGTCCGTGTTATTTGATTTTACTCGATGTGCTCTTTCAATGTCAAAATTATCAGCTTGTTCACCGAATTTAAGCCCATTTCTCAAAAAATCTCTAAGTTTTTGTTCCGTTAATTCCAATTTCTCATTTATTACACCTGATATACCACTAAATCGCAAATTGTTTCTTCTTGATTGATTTTCTAGTCGGTCAATTTTTCCTTGAAGTTGAGATAGTTGTTTATGTAAATTTATATTGTCCTGTTTTAAATCGTTATAACTAGATTTCAGTTGTTGTACGGTATCAAGAACGTTATCTAATTTGTTATTTAGACCACTGATATCATTCTGAACTTTACTGTTTTGTAATGAGAGGTCTTTTTTCATTGAATGTAAATAATTGAGAATGTCATTTTCATAATTTAAATCATGGGTACTCGCCTGGTTAATCTGAGTAGAATCAGCAGAAGTATGAATATAAGAAGAAATACGCCGTTGTCGAGTTTCAATTCCAGGGGGTCATGTTGGGGTAGTGGTGACCCATTAACTTATTAAGCGAATTATCCTGTTGTTCACTAATTGTTCCCTTTGTCGTATTTCTACCTTGTTTTGGTGCATTTCGACGTGTACCATCGGTCTTAGGAGGTCCAGGGTTGCTCTCAATGTCTCCACAAATGAGAAGAAACGTTAGCTGGTTAGTAAACACGTGGCAATTCTCAAAGATAATTTCCATCTTTTTAATCCAAACAATAATAGCAAGATATTTAAACGGTTCACACACTTCTTCGGTTGTACAAAACAACCAATTCGAACTCTCCATAACTCAATTGAAATTCCCATTTAGCATATAAATTAACAGTTTTCGGCAGAGAGAAAAACACGTGTCGCCATTAGCAACCTGTTAACCTTGTTTATACGATAACATGGGAAGGAATACGTCATTGTTTATTTTATTTGGAAGGGACATTGCCCATGGACAGTAGATAGCCTATAAGGTAAAATCCTTGTTTGATGAATAATTAAGAAGGAATAAGCCATGGTTTATATAACCCAGAAATATCATTGCACCTGATCAATAGATGACATCTAATAATTTCGTTGTCATTGGGTCAAATCAGGGTCACAGTGACGCTAAATGTAAAATTATTGACCAGTCAATAAGTAGTATAAATGGCACTTTTACAGGCTGGTGAAGAGGGGGCATCCTTGTACTATAGCACATGCCTAGTTAATTATGGAAATTCATATAAATGGTGTAATCTGATTGGTTATTTATCTCGTAGCCACGACTTAGCTATCTCGTGGCCACGACTTAGTAACTCGTGGCCACGACATAGTTTCTCGAGGCCACGACTTAGCCATCTCGTGGCCACGACTTAGTTACTCGTGGCCACGACTTACTAACTCGTGGCCACGACATAGTATCTCGTAGCCACGACTTAGCTATATCGTGGCCACGACTAAGTAACTCGTGGCCACGACTTAGTAACTCGTGGCCACGACATAGTATCTCGTGGCCACGGCTTAGCTATCTCGTGGCCAAGACAGAGTAACTAGTGGCCAAGACTTAGTAACTAGTGGCCACGACATAGTATCTGGTGGCCACGACTTAGATATCTCGTGGCCACGACTTAGTAACTCGTGGCCACGACAAAGTACCTCGTGGCCACGACTTAGCTATCTCGTTTATCTCATTTGACCATGATCTTTCATTACTGAACACGGGGCCCGATGATACTAGTATAATTTCATCTTACATGTGAAATAAACAATATGAATATTTATTCTGTGTGGTCGAGGGCTTAGAGTCGATGACTTCTAATCCAGTTACCTCTCTGGCGTGGGTTAGATCCCCGGGAGGTGCTTTGGTAGTTTAGCGCGGAATGGGTAGTCTAGTACTGGTGTAACTCTCCAGGAACGATGGTTAGGAAACTACCCGCCTATATGACTAAAATACTGTTGGAAAAGGGCGTGAAATGAAACAAACAAACAAACAAACAATTTATTCTGTGACTGTGACTTTTTAGTTTTTTAGTCAATTTACTTATTTTTACTGGATGAGGTCATTTAAAAGTATTGTGAAATTGGAATGTCGTCCATTGTGAGCAACCATCACTTGGTTTGGGAACTTCCTGATATCATGAAATCATGACGTCATAATGTTCATGTTGAAGAAAATGTTCGAGTTAAAAATAAATCTATAACAGATTTTGAGAATGTAATTTATGCAAAGTTATCACATTCAATTTTTGCGACTTGGTTAAAATGGTATTTCACGGCCGTGCATATATTTAGATCTGATGTCATTTCCGTTATACAAACATAGAGTAAAGGCGTCCTAAAGGTTAGCGTAACACTAAAGGTGCGTTAATGAAGAAGTATTCCTTTTTTACTTTAAACAGTTTTTATTTTGGGTATGTGAAACATAGAGTATTGTATTTGTGTACGTTAATTACTGAATTGATTGAATTCGTTGAATGAAATAATATTGTGATCGCCAATAATAAACTCGGTATTGGACCTACACTCTTCTAAATATCAACTTTTGTGTAATTATGTTCTAATTTTTTGGAAGTGAAATTATTTAAATATTATTCTACTATTACACTATATATTTAAGGAAAGATTTTGTTATTATTTTGTTTAACACATTTTTGTCAAAAGTAATGTGGAAAGTGGTCATGGAATTTCCATATTTTGATTGCTATGGAAGATTATTTAAAGGTATAGAAATAAATACATCATGTGAACAGTTTATTGTTATTTTGTTATCAGAATATATGTCTTGAAACATAATAAAAACTAATATTGAAAGTCCAAGCTGCATTTTTCATAAACATATATTCATTACCCCTGCCCCAACTTTCTTTGGTGGGGGGCAATTTTCTGGAAGGGGGTATTCACATAAAAATGCTTATAATTTATAAACTTGGTGATTATTTTCTTTGAAAAGTTGCAATTAAATAAGTTAAATAGAGTACTTTGATAAAATATTAAGTTTGATCAGGTTCCTAAATATACCCATTACAGGGATGTTACCTTAAAACACCACTAAATGGAATGGCATAAAGCAATTCTAGTTACAAGAAATAATTTTTCTGCACTGAAACTAGTTCTAGCGAGGTATGAACCGTTTACACAGTCCTTGCTCTATGAGGCAGGTCTTTTTATTTGTTGCTTCAATGCAATTACGGAAAAATTTCTTAAATCTGTCACAATGCCCTCCAAGCGGCGTTTGGTACAAACAGTTTTTTAAAACTTCTTTAGCTTTTTGACCACACTTTAGTCTATATTTACGTCGTTCGTTACGTTTATTAACTTGTGGCTTCTCTAGATATCTGATAATGTTTATATCATTAACATCCCGCCTCCTATCTATTTGCATGTAATCTGGAACTGAAAAAAAAACATTATAAAATTATCATGAAGAAATCCTTTTCATTTACTGCCAGAACTTAACAGTTTTAAGACAATTGATTTAAAATACTTAATCGTTGAAGTTATCCTTTTTCGAAAATACATCAAACGTTATATTGTTATTCAGTATTTCTATCTTTGGACAAATAACAATCAATTTCTTATCCTTAAATTGTCCTTAAGTACACAGGTTTAAAAGGATCGCTTCTTTGTTTCTTTTTTTTTTATTTCAAAAGAGGCACGGAATAATATGTGTTATTCAACAGTTAATGTTAAATCTATGGAAGGGATTATCCGCCAGTTCACCTATTATGCTTTATGACATTCCAATTTCCGTTTTTACTTTTGCGTTAGTGAATGTGATGTTAGATTTTGGTTATTTTTAAGACTTAGTGTATTTCGTATCTTTATAATTATAAAGGTATTTTGAATAAATCTTTGTTATACGTTAATCTTATTTTTATACACGATTTTCTTGTTTCATTCTGAAAATTGGTATGATTTCCCTTAAAATATATTTAAAACATTTTAATTCAAAATCACACATTAAAATCAACATTAGGTATTCAGTGTATGGACACTACCGAATATGTGTTAATTCATTTGTAATAAAATGTTCAACATTTAATCAAAACAATCGAAACATCATTCGCAGTATAAAATGTTGTTTAACATTGACTCTTAAAACAAAATCGTCTTCATAACAATGTTGACGTTATAAAAAAACGAAGCGAGGAACCAATTTTTGTAGTGCGTTTTCTTACAGAAGAGGTCGCTGTTAAATGCTAACTGGTCCCTTTCGGTGCGGACGTAAAAATCACCCCATGGGAAAAATCCGATCAAACATCGTGCTACCCTGCCTTGAAAAAGCTGTTACTAGCTCTATATCAACAGCAACGAACATGTTCTTTCTTGCATAATGCGCAACATATCATTTTTATTATTTAAACAACTCATTTTTGAAGATCTTTCAGAAAAGGTATGCATGTGGCATACTGTATGCGGCGGATTTTGAGATATTTTGCCTCAAACTTGGCCTTTTTTTCTATAAGTAATATATAGGGGTAAATATTTGGTAGTCATTAACCTCCTATTTGGTAGTCATTAACATCCACATGATAGGATTAGTTTTCGTAGTATCAGATTTGTGAACACCGGTCAGGGAGCCGTTATTATTTTTTACATTTTTACCAGTTATTCTAATTCTAGCGCAAAACATAATTAATTTTGAATTATTCTTCGAAACTCTTAGTGTGCTATGCAAACTGCTGTTTCGAATACAAAATACACAATGTCAGCATGGGACTAAAATTACCATGATTTTTGTAAAATAAATACTGAAAACACTGTAAGAATAAAATGTGTGTCAAATTAATTTTAGAAAGCAAATTCAGTTAAAGGAAACATATTTGAAAGCCAGCAAATTCAATATCTAATTATAGTTTGCATGTTTACAGCTTTAGAACTGAAGTGTAAATTGAATGTTCGCATATTTCAGTAAGAACTCGAGTTAAGTCAGCAAGTACAACATCTTAATATTGCATAATGATTGCAATGTATTAATTTTAATGTCTTCATATTAATAACAATGTTTTCATAATAATAATAATGTCTTCCTATCAATAAGAATGTCTTCAAAATAAAAAGAATGTCTTCATATTAATTACATTGTATTCATATTAACTAGAGTGGCGGATAAACGCGATCAGTGGATCATTAGTCCATGATTGTTATGTTACGAGATCAGCCGAAGATGAAAAGACAATTACAATAAGTAAAGCATAGAAATTACTAACAAAACAGAAGCTTTGGACTGTTAGACTGTGTTCAGTCAAGAGCGGGAAAAAGACGCACGAAAAAAAATGACGACAGGCTTTCAATAGCCAAGCAAACGCTGCACACACAAAAGTAATCAATTTACATATGCGATGTAACGTTAAACTATTACTGTGAAGTAGTTAGATTCGATTAAAGAAATATGCCATAAAGAACAACTTTTTTGAAACAATTATTCTTATACACATGCGTAGTTAATAGTCATTGAATATGAGCCTGATTCTATATTTAGATTGGGAAAATCCAATTGAGCCATTGAATATATTTCACCCCAGTAAATGGATTTAATTACTTTTTTCTGCTGGACACTGTTTGGTCCATTGAGATATATTTGCAACTATTGTTACATTATATAGTAATAGTTGATGCCTAACATTCGTTTTAAAGATTGATCGATCCACAACAAACTAAATGGTGAAACTTTTACGAATACCACACGGCGAACCGTTGAATCATAGTACTGAGTATTATTAAATGTGTTACAAATATGAACGCGAATCTGACAAACAATTATTGACATTTTTTTGCCAGAGAGGTAAAGTAAAAATAGTAAATATTAATTTCATAAATTATTTAAATAAAGTTATGTAGCCACGAGTTTGATGTAATAGTTATCACATATTATTTTATAGACGTTAATATTGTACGTGAATAGAACAAACTACTCTGGGACATATTATCATGTTTCTATTTCAATAAGGGTTGTAACCTTTTATCAAACATTTTGGGCATCTGCATTCGCTTTTACCGAAATATACCAACATATGTCTTTCATGCAGGCTTTTTTCGAATTATTCTTTAATTTACCAAAAAAAAAAAAAGATTTTTTATGTTTATTTACTTATTTATCTTTAGAAAGATGCAAAAAAATGATGACGTTCAACAAGCATAAAAATATCAAGTTTCATAATAGCCCGATTCAAAGAAATATTTAGTACAAAATTTCATTAAAAAAATTAAAGAAATTGATTAATCATTAAATGATATAGAATTAGTCAAACTAATGATTCAATTAAATTTAATGATAAAATGAAAGATAAATCTACTTACCTTCTTGTGCCAATATGTGAAACGAAAACGACAATAAATTGGCGAAAATGAGCAGCCAATAAACATTTTGATTCATCGTAAGTATTTTAGAGAAACTTGTCGTCGACAAAATAAGTGTTACCTAAGAGCAATTTGATTAAAATGGTTGATGAATATAAATATATATAGCTTTTTAGCAACACCCATAAAATATATAAAACACAGCTTCGAAACGGAGGAGGGAATTTTTATGTTATTTGAAATATTGCCACGTATCTATATTTTCTAACATTACTTAGAATGTTAAATTATTTAGTACCTAAAATTGCGTGGTGTAATATCAAATGCTATTTTAAAGTAATTCATTGTCATATTCAAAGCAGGTGTGACTGAAAATGTATTTTAACGTCATTCATATTGGGAATTCTTTCACATAAATTTTTTTCATTAGTACCCGTATTCTTCCCACTTGATATGTATATAACGCTGTTAGTAATGGCAAAAAAAGATGTCGAGCAATTACCATCTCAATTAACATCTATATTTGTATATTCGTGGCTTCCCTTTTATCAATTAAACATGTGCTAGGATTGATCAAAAGTTCTCGGCCCGATGTACTTCTGGTAGTCAGAGGATCCATCTAAAAGTCTTACTTTTCAATATAATCGCCCTATACATCAATGCATTTTGTCCACTTGTGCTCCAACTTGAAATAGAACTCTCTACTTTGGTCCTTAAAGAACTCATTGACCGCCTTCATGACACCTTCATTGCTTCCATAACGTGTACCACGAAGCTTGTGTTTCAGTTTTGGAAACAGGTAGAAGTCAAAGGGGGCCAAGTCCGGAGAATATGGGGGATGGGGAAGAATTTCAAAGCCGCAGTCAGTTTCAGCAGCCATCGCAATTTAGGATGTTTTAGCTGGCGTATTGTCGTGCAGGAGCAGAACGCATTGAGTCACTTCACGCGATTTCTTGACGCAGACGTTTAAATCCATCTGCATAGAATGTACCGTTTATGTAGTGGCTAGAAGTATATCGGGCCGAGAACATTAAAAAAATCTAATTATGAAAATGTTCATATATATCTTATTTGTTTTGAATTTCCCACCAGAAGCCTATAAAAGTTTACTATCTACCGTTTAATTATATATATTAGTAAACAAGTGATGGTATTGCTAGTTAAACCTCGGGATCGTGACTGTAAGCCACTATGTGTTAACAGGAGTGTAAAGCCACCGTGTCAATCCTGGCCAAGCTGTCAAGCAGTTTACCAGTACTACTTACCCTCACTCTTGCATTGAATTGATAACTTTATTACATGCCAGAGCAGAGAAACAGTGCAAATAACCTTCATAAATCACAAAAGTGGCATGCACCGTCCGGTGCCCTAAACGAGCCTGTTCATGAACAGTACTGGAAAGTGCAAGGTAGCTTCCATACCACGAGCATAGGCTTAATCAGTATTAAACATTGAATATGAAATGGTTAAATTTTGCATTTAGAAACATCCGCAGATATGTTCATACGACGCTTATCATGGAACCTTTAATGTGAGGGACGCGTTTGTGCCATTCAATGAAAAGCGGCGTATGGTCCCCAATAAAAGTATGCATGTGCCCTAAACGAGCAAATAATGGGCTGAATTAAATATCATGGAATTTTGAAAGGGGATCAGAGGTCATGAAGCCTGCATATCATAGATAAGTTGTCAAATGACAAATTCAAAAGGCAGACATCATTCTTAAGGGTGATTAAACATATTCAAGTAAGGAATAGTTACACAAACCGACATGTTTGGAAATAGCCAAATATGGATAAAAATCTGGAAACAAAGTGATCCCCCGGAAGCATTAATCACAACAAAATTACATAAGAATTGCAGACTCGTTCTGATTGAGTCTGTACATGATATAAGTACCACAAACTCAAGTTTTACGTTGTTGTGAACGATTTTCAAGGATCGGACATAACACCTCTGATTATATATACGGTTGCCTTTAAACTCAAACAACGCTATCGTGGCGATAAAAAAGAAAAAGAACCGCTAAAGAAAGTTCGAAACGACTTAATTGAAAATGTAGCATGCTCGGAATGTTTCAGCATGTACATGGACAATACTAGCAAGTACAAGCTACTGTCCACGCCCCCTAGCATCGGCTTAAGCATTATTCAACTTTTAACATAGAAAAGTAAAATTTCAATTTAGAAGCATCCGCAGATATATATCCATACCATAAACATTCAATGTGACACGTAATTGCTATTTAATTGATTAATGGAAAGCGGCGTATGGTTCCCAAATAAAATAGTGAAAAACTGAATCCCTAAAGAAAGTCTAACACAGCAGAATTGAAAATGTTGCAGGCTCGGTTTGATTGAGCCTGTTCGTGTGTTGTTACGTATGAATTAATACACGTTAAGGCGATCCTATAATTTAAATGATGACACATCTATTTGAAGTACAAAACAAATGGTGGATATGTCGGTATAAAATCATAAGTCTGAGAAATAAAAAACAAAAAATGAAATATTTTATATGTTTGAGAAAATAAAGTAGAATTTCTAAAGCTGTTTTACATTTTAAGTAAAAATCCAGATACAAATATAGCTTTGATGAGTATGGGCATATAAATTTTTCAATATATGTTATATCATCAATTTAAATGCCACAACTTAATAGGGGAATAATAACTGATTGCCGTGCCTATATCGTTACAAATGATACGTTCCCTAAACATTAGTTTTTTAATCAATGATTGTTTTGCCAGTGATAAATGCACGGGGTGCGCCCTGTATTGATATCTAAATAATTCAGCATCAGTAAAATCCACTGATCAAGATATTCACTATAACACTATATATGAAAAAGAAACAAGGGCAATCACAGGGTTAAGTATTCAATTTTTTAATCATTTATATAAAATCCAATTTTTTTTTTATAAAACAAATTGTTATGTTGTTCTACCTCTGACCTTTCTCTATATTTACCCTTATCGCATGACGCCCGCAACTTTTCTTTGAAGATCGGCGTTCTCTAAATTTCAGTATTGGAAAACTTTGAGGTGCTCTAAATGAGGTATCAGTACGCTTTGGGGTGCTCTAAATGAGGTATCAGTACACTTTCTCGCGCATTTCAAATAAAAAAATGAGCATACTTGAAAAAGAGCAAAACGAAACCGAAAATAGTTAAAAGAACTTATTTTTATTTATCAAATTTACAAATCATGTCTGTCTTTTTTTCTTCAAATCATGAAAATACAGTTATTATAAACATGTTGTCCTCCTCCGGTTTCAAAGCGGTTAATTGGTTGTTTTTGGATTCGTTTGTTTTTGTAAGAAGGCCACATACTAAATGTTAAAAGGACTCGGGTGGAAAGTAATCGCCATTCTGCTTCCTTACCTCGACGACAAATCTGAAACAATGATCATTTTTTTTATTTTTAGCTTTAAACAATGCCTATGTTGATATATCTTTGAAATATATATCTTTGAAATATACATAAGGGGATTTCATAGATTATATTTGAAATAGAGCTGGACACTGAAAAAGCCCATTGCGTGTTACGGTCCATGTTCTTTGACCTTTGACCTTGAACCAGCGCGTCAAGATCAGATTCGGACACGCTTTCTCCAAAACGTTCTCTCTTTTCACTAATGAAAGGTTTTTTATCCTGCTTTAAGTCCTGGTCAAAGTCAATCAATTGGAAGTTGCCGAAATAGTTCTGTTGTACATCATTTTGAAAAGTATCCATTTGACTACTTGTCAGTAGGCATATGTCATTAAAAACACCACTACGCTCAATTTCACTTAATGTCTGTGAAAGTAACAAATCATCCTGTGTAACGTTTTCGCTATTAAACGTAGTGCTTATTTCAAACAAGTCCAAAGCCTGCGATAATTCAAAATCATCATTATCTAAATGTTCATATTTGTCCCACGACGAGACAAGAATTTGGCGCTGAATAAGGTAAACTGCTAGGGCTTAGCGCAATCGAATGTGATTCGTTCATTTTTCTAGGGGTTCACTATATCTCTGACAGTGAAGGAGTAGAGGCACCGAATGGGTGTATTTCTATGTGTTTCTCTAAAATTATCATTTGTTTAAATGATGCGATAATACGAGAGAGCGAAAATCTCAAAGAAAAAGTCGTGATGGTCATGCGATAAAACAGTTACAGATTATTAACTCGGACTTCACAGGCTGGTATCAGCGCATGGGGAGACAAAAAGGGTCAATCATGGAAATTAATCTCGATGTTCTGTCTCGATTAATTTCCTATGATTGACCCTTGTTGTCGCCCCATGCGCTGATACCAGCCAGTTAAGTCCTCGTTTATATTCTATAACTTATACATGTTTGTATCGGATTTTATGCAGTCTCCGTCGAAGTATTCTTTCCGTCGTAGAATCTGAAAAATTTGGAACAAAATTGATTATGGACATTTCTTCTATCTCGCATATACAGTGCACATATGGTTCAGCGGAAATTCACATATATTTTTACCGATGTTCAATTTTGAGATCCATATGGGGGTTCAATCCCCTTGAGATATTTCTATATTTTCTGCATACAGGCAGGAACCTTAATTAATGGGCAATTTAGGTGAAGCAATTCATTTTTATTGCGCATATATATAAAGTAAGAACGTCCTTTTTAAGACGCATATGTGCAATAAGCATGTTTTATTCGAATCCTTAAAGGTATAATATTTCTCAGATCTTTACAGTAGATGGTAATCGTCATTGACTGAAAAGATTCTTTATTAAATAAATGTATTATCAGATTAACATTCTTCTCCTGGCTGACGTTATTTTTAGACGTGCTGCCTTCGGTTCCATGTTTTGCCAGCTTGCATGCTCTTTAATTTCCCGGAATCAAACAGAAGGTGAGAATTGTTGAATGTACAGCTGTAGGTGTTACTGGCACTGGGCTCCCGAACAGTTTAAATTTTTGTATGTCTAAGGGTTTACAGGACGGATAGAATATCTGTTTGGATAACCATCAAAGGACAGTACCTCTGCAACTCTTCAATACCGGTATGATGTCATCAAATTCTGCCCTATAGTTTGTATTATGAACTCCAGTTGGGCAACTTAAATCCTGACTAAAGTTGACATCAACTTATTTCTTTTATGTAGATCTGATAACCACCGTATATGTTTCGCGCTTTTTTTTAAATCTGATTCCCCATGCAAATTCAATTTTAGCCATGCAATCAACCCGGTTTTTTAAAGACAGGCATTAGAAAAAGTATATTATACAAACTGTTGATTTTTGTTAGAAAAAAAGTTTGGAGTAATTTTTAACAAATTAACTTGAAATAACAGAGGCAAGATGACAATT